GCTTGCAATAGTTACATAACAGAGGTAGTAGGTAGTTACTTGTATATAGATTGATGCTTCGAAGAACTTCGACGAATAAGGAACATTTGTAGTTGTCGAAATATATTTTTGTGTTCGTGTATGTCACTGCCACAAACAGTAACTCAAAGAGCATCCATCCGACAACGCTATGAAGCTGGAGACACAAACAACGTTAACTCACATTGCTCATTGAGATTGTCAAATCGATTCGAAATTGGAGCCACCAGCAGTACTTACTCGAATTACTACCTGCAATGGTACAGCTTACGTTGAATACAAGTACTGTTAACAATACTACTACTACAGTAAGGAGAATAGGATAAAAACTTGTGGCCATTTGACTTTTTACTGGTGGTCACCGAAAATGTCATGTGTTGGTGTTTTGCTCGTGGTTAAACTGTGGAACTTAACGAGAATTGCTTGGGCATATCTAGCCTCATGCGTATCGACGCGTAGGCATTCGAACTATATGGTATGGCCAGCACTACCGTAGTTCGTAAGTGAAAGGTTGCATGCCAGATCCAAAATTTATACAATATTTCACAGGATGGTGGTACATTTTGTGACTTCAACTTGGGTAAATTATAAGTTGCAACAAATTCCAATATAACGACGAGGTCCTGCAATTGACATTGAAGTATACTTTTTTAGAGATCATCAAAACATAGAATATTTATTATCAAAAGGTGCTGGATGGTTCTAGCATTTTCCAAAACCCGGTAATTCGGCGGTCGACAGCAGCGAAGACGCCCTCCACGCAAAGATAAGGGAACAAGCTCAAGGGCACGGTACGTCCACCACACATCCATCCACTCGGGTGACGTCATACTAGACCCATCTAAACGATATTCTACGTAGATATGATTCAAGTTTCACGCAACCAACCACGACTGATGTCGGCTGCCGAAGCCATATCGCGAGACAGTCCAGATGCAATGGTAAGATTCCAAGTGTCCGAATATATGATAGTAATATGATAGGAGAAACTGTGCGTGGCGCACTTATTGACCCGCGGCAATAAGCGGACTCGATGACGACTCGGTACGTGACCTTGGTAGACAAGGGTGGTTGAGCACATCGATAAGGCATGTTTTTGGAGACAATACATAAAACTTTAGTATACTTCCGATTCATCTTCAATCAAATATCTCCATGCTTTCATCGACTACGATATCTGTGGCAAGATTGAAACTTCCAAAATTTCTCGCGATTGCATCGATGTCGTCGTCGGGCTCATCATCACTACCATCAACCGCACTTGAGTTATTGAGCAGCAACTTTGTGCGCCGGAATCCCATGATGATTGTAGATTGCGGCAAATCAGCCCACGCGGTGTTGACGCAACGCACGATTGTTGATCTGTCCGGCGGCACCAATTGAAACGGCTTTGAGTTGTCATGAGCTCGCACTTGCTCCATGAGGGTGTCGACCCAGTACTTTCGCAGCTGGGACTTGAAGGGTTTGTTCCATGCGACGTCAGCTGGCTGGCACGACCAAGTGAATCGCGGGGGCACCTTCTCGAGGAGAACATTAATT